AATATCTTTCTTTAAAGTGCAATATCATTAAAAACAGTATAAAATAGGGATGAAAATCTCAACATATTTTCCTCTGGTCAGTAGTCATGCTCAAGAATAATGTTTGACAACTTATTAGTTGTTGCTTTTGAATCTTTTCCCCCTAGCTGGGGTGTTTTCCATGCGAACTTGTAAAACGACCCATGTATTAAGCCTTGAAGAGATCAACTTCTTGATCTAGTTGAAGAAGAACAATAGTACGGTGAGGGGGTGTTGAGGAAGCGTTATTTGTAACAAAGATTGCTCCCTGTCTAGGAGCGATTTTCAAAGCCTTCTATTTTGAATAAAATGTAGGATGACTACCCTACTACAATCATGCCTAGAACGTGAACATGAATGACTTTCAAGACTACAGTGAAGGTTGCCCCCCTGCCTGGAAGAAGTTATGAAATACTTTGTGTATAAATAATATGTGAGAAGACAACCAAGCTACAATCATGCTCGGGACGTTATTGTGAACAACTTTCGAGACTGCAGTGAAGGTTGCCCCCCACATTGAAGAATGCTTCAAAGAAGATCTTCAAGATGTAAAGGAGGTTCCTTCGCCAGTTGGAAAATGTACATCATTGGGAAACAAAGTAGGGGCTCGGTGTCTTAGAATTGAAAACAATGTTGAACGGGGCTTTGCATCCCACAAACCGTGCCAAACTATTGCGTGCTAGAGAATTCAGGCGGTAGAGTAATGGATTATTGTCTTAACGTTGCACGGAATATTAACACACTCTCAGATAAAAGAAAACAACCAGTAATGACACGAAAAATTTTTACGTGGAAAACCCAGAAAAGAAAAAAATCACGGGACCTAGCCGAGCTGAGGAAATTCACTATAAACTGAATATTATATGTAAAGTCTCTCGTCTCATAAGAGGGAAAGGCTTGAACACTCTTCAAAGTTACAAAGTTGGTAGCACGAATAAACATGTTCTATGAAGTGGGCAGAGACATATGATGATTGGTGGAGGCCAGCCAGTGGTGGTCGTTGACAGTGGACAGTGATCGATGCAGTCTGTGGTGGTCAACGATGACTCACGGTGGTTGACAAAGGTCAACGGTGATGGAAGCCGGGTAAACAATGGTCGATGACGGTCGGCAGTGGTCAATGGTGGTCGGTCGACGACGATCAACAGTGATTGACAACGGTCGACGGTGGTCGATGGTCGTTGGTGTTGCTCAGCGATGTTGATGATAGTCAATGGTGGGCGGTGGCGATCGTTGATGGTAAAAGTGATGTCGGACTTCAGTTCCTTCTCAAAGCTTCAAATTCTTTCTCAAACCTCAAGCTCTTCTGCTCCTCATGAGAGAAGTGATGCTCTATTTATAGTGTTCTGGGTGCAATTAATATAATAATTTGAACAACTTTGATCAGACGGTCTGGAGAACTTCCTTCGATCAGAAGACGTTTAATGGACATTTGACTGCCTTACCGATGTCGAAATTGTGCAATCTTGGGCTCGTTGAATTCTTCTTGTCGAGACGCTCAATTCGGCTACAAGTTTCTAGATTCGACATTTGTTTGACATTGTAAATATGTTTGGAAAACTTCAAAGAACAATTTAATGACTTGCTCTGGGCTTGATTTGACTCAGGTTGAACTAATTTTCATATCATTGGACCGGTTAGTTTGACTATAAATTTGTTAAAATCGAAGCTCTGAATGACAAGCTTAAATGTTTCTTGCTTAAAAAATGGTCTCAAGGTCTGTGTCATGCTTCGAGATGCATGTTGAATGTTAGAAATTTGTTGATAACGTACCAATCTTCATTTAAAATCATAGATTGGTAGGGAATCATAGGGAGAAAGTTTTAGGCAGACGTTTGTAAAAAGTAATTTGCAGAGAAATTCGTATAAATTAGTCGCATATAATTTCTGTGGACTTTTGGACAAAGTATAATGCAGGAAATGAGTATTGATTCTAACTTCGAAGTTGTTATTCCAACTGCCAATAAAATAACTCTTAAGCTCCCACAAAAACTTCTCAATTGGTTTACCGTGTGGGGAAGTCGTAAAAATAGTTCCAATATTAAATTAGATCTAATTATAATGTCTTTATTTTCTTATTTTAATTTCTCTCACATAAACTTTTAAATTATACCACCATTCCAACCACCATGCCAACCATTCATCTCGAACGGAATATAGCTTTCATCCGAGGGAAATAAATAAAGCGTCAGTCATGGGTCGCAAAATTGAGTCAAATTTGATGCTTATTTTCTAAGAGAAAATGTAGATTTACGATTTCTTACGCGAACAGGAAGCCAACTGGGCTGAGGTCGCGTGCTCTGTAATCACCTCGACCTAACCCTTCCTCTGGCACTAAATTGGTTAGAAATCCGTCGCCTGTGCTTGCGTTTGATTGCCATGGGTTCCCAGGAGGAGGATCGGCTGCTACTCGAAGGCAGGCTCTTGGAGGTTGCTTTCCCCTTCACTTCTCTCTCTCATTCCTTTGGAGCGATTAAGCTTCTAGATTTAGATCTTTTTTTTCTTTTCCTTGATTGAATTTTGTGCTTCTGTGGCAAGTGATTAATATTTATGGAATATCATGATGGATTTTGATGGGTAGTTGAGTGAAAAGGAATATTATGAAGTCGAATAAAAGTTTTAAATGAATGGTTTCAGGTTCAGAACATTTATAAATTATTGAAATTTTATTTCATTTCGTTAAATCCAAACAACTCCTATGAGATAGGAATCTGTGAAAAGGTGCTTGTTTTAACCATCGGAAGTGAATTTGGGGTTAGAAATGAGGATTAGCTCGTGTGTGAATAGAAAATGGATCTAATGGTTTATGTGTTTGTATTTTTTTGTTGGGATTTGGTCAGTTGGTTAGCATTCTCTTTATTTTTATTTGTTTAAGTTTTCCTATGAGAATGTTAACCTGCTCTTTATTTTGATTTGTTTATGCTGTTTAATGAGTTATGAATGTGTATAATATTGAATCTTGAAATATCCGTGGATACACGCCCCTAGAAAAAAGTGGTGCTAGGAGGGTAGAGCTTTGAGAAGATAATGGAAATGAGGAAGGGAGGAAGAAGAGGGGAAATCTCTTTAGGACTTTTTTTCTTATCTCAAAAGGAAGTGATTATAGGTGGATGCTCTTCCTTCTTCCCCTTTTTTTCTTCTTTCTCTTTTTTTTCTCTCATCTTTTCTTCTCCTGCTCTATATCTTATAGTGGTTGCCTGATTCACCACTATTTATAGTTGAGGCTAAGGCATACTATGAATGACGTTACACTATAAATATAAAGTACCCAATATAGTACAGCCTAGAACACATAGCAATATAACTAGTTGTTTAGCCTAGGCATTTTGTTTGTCTATACGACCTTTGAGGCCTACTACAATCTTGCTTTTAGATGAATTAAGTGCAACTTATGATTCGAAGGCCAACCTCATGGAGGCATTTTCTGGAAAACAAAAGGAATTTGTGGTAGAGAAGAAGAAGAAGAAGAAAAAGAAGAAGAAGAAGAAGAAGAAGAAGAAGAAGTGATTATTTATCTTGTACTTCGTGTTGGAGGTGCTGGACATTGAATTTTACTCTTCTAAAAAGATGTGATTATTTATAAGCCACTACTTTAATTAATGTTCTTTAGTGCTGCAACCCATGAGAATAGTGAAAATGATATTTCCTAAAGTTTTAAGCTGGTGAAGCATAAACAGCTGCAAGTTTAAATCTCAAACATCCGACACCTCTTTTTGGAAGTGGGTAATGAAACTCGTTTAACATTTTATCAACACCTAAAAAATTCATAAGTTCTTCTATGAACTCATTTGTGGCTTTTATGAGCAAGTAAATTGAGCTGCCAAAATTGCTTAAACTCGACGAAGGAGTGATGACCTCAATCAGAAAGTTGTTAAACCAGTGAAGATCATAATCTTTAAGAGTCATGAAGAATAAGCATCATTCATTCTTAATAAGCAAAATATAGGCTTGAACAACACTACATGGTTAGTGAGATCATATTTATTTACTAAGAATTCATAACTTGAATATTAATTTTTTCTTGTGCTTCTGTTTTAGTGATTTCTCTATAGAATGCATTTTCTGTTGTTATCTCCTCTTGTGAACTTCTTGTCTTCTTTCTCTTCTATAGTTAGTAGTAGTCTTAATTCGTAGGGTAATATGTTTCATCTTCTTCCTCCTCGGCCGAAGTGATTGACAAGGCTCTTGTTGCTCTAATCATTGTATTTCTCATGGCTCGGTCTCCTTTTCTATGCACTATTTATTCTAGAGAATCATTCTTAGTGCCTCTAGTGCTTGCTCCAAAGCCTCTTTTGATCATCATAATCATTTGCTCATTCAACCCATTTATCGTTCTTGTTGATAGAGTGTTCTTTGTGATTCGGTTTTTCTCCGTGAACAACTTTACGTTTAGGTTGTGGTATGTTCTTGCTCACTGCACACTCAAGGATGTTATATCCTGACATGTCCATGAGTACGCAACCCTTAGAAAAGAGTTGTGTTTGGGGAGAGAGAGCCCTGTGAAGAGAATGGAGATGAGTAAGGAAGAAAAGGGAAAATCTCATTAGGAGTTTATTGATCTCAAAAAGAAGTGATTATATAATATGCTCTCTCTTCCTTCCTCTTTTCTTCTTCTTTCCTTATTTTTTTGTTTCTCTTCACTCCTCCCCCACCCACTCTATACTTCATAATGACCACTTTTATTAATAGATGAGGCATGTCTTAGGTACGCTACACATAATTTTACACGAGAAATTTAAAGTATACAGTGTATAGTACGACCTAAACACAAAATATAATAGCTAGAGGTGTGGCCTAGGCTTCTTATCTGCCTTTACATTCTCTGAGCCATATGACCATCTGGCTATTATATGAGTTGGCGATGCCGATTTGGATTTATGGGAGAACTTGCTGTTTAATCTATTCAAGGTGCCTTGGATAAATTTGTCTTCCACACTAGCTGGCCGAATTAATGGGTCAGTCTCTTTTGCTGAACTGGCTGGTGTGGATGTCATGGTTGAGTTGCGTGGCCGAATTATCTGGCCCATTTTTTGTTCACAATCGTTTGGTCGAATTGGTTGGTTGATTCTTATTTTGAGGTAAACCCGATTTAGGGTGATGTGTTTATATTTATAAGATGTATTTTGTTGGATGGGTTCTATTTGCTTGTTTGTTTTTGGCAGCCATGTCTTTGACTGGATTGGTGATGTGTGTATATCATATTTTCTTTTGCCTTTTCCATCTTGCATTGGCCATGTTCGTGAGCTCTAGGATTTATCAAATTATCCATTATTTTCATCTTCCTTTTTTTTTCTTTTTATTTCCAGTTGAATTTTCCATGCTACCACTTACCAGATTCTGAATCTCTATTTTTTTTTTCATTTGAAAGATGATGTCTTGTGGTGCTTGGTCTTATCAATGTTGATCTTTACTATACTAGGTCTCGTCAATCTTGATCTTTGCTACATTTCTTCTTTTATTAATTCTTTTTTTTTTATATTCTTTTATATCTTTGGTTGGTTTTGCCCACCTAAGGAGAGGTGCTAGGAAGTGAAATTACTGTCTCTGTCCTGCATTTTAACTCCACTTCTCACTTTTTAAAATCCCACCCTCCTTAATGTCGTTATAAGTGAACTTAGATTTTCTGTTTCATCTAAAATGCTTTCCATGGTTTCTTCTAATAATTGACTTTTTTAAACCAGTTGTGATGCCATCTTTTTATAGAAGTAAATATCGAACCTTGATGCTGAGCGTTGGATATTTAAATACAGAAAAATTGTGTGCTGTGCATGTAAATCTCCATTGTTTTTGTCATTCAAGTTGTTTTATATGGATTTGTGTGATCTCATGTGTATTCTGTCCAAAAGAAAATATGCAAAAAGGAAAAAAAAAAATTCTTAGGGCCAGATTTATTCTCATATTATTTTAGGAGATGAATGTTCAATCCATTGTTGTAATGTCATTAAAACAATTGCTGTCATGTCTCATGGATTTCTCTAAGTGGTACTGTTGCTCGCATCAATATGAGTATGAATGAGATTATATTTTTTGAAATTCTACTTTCATGCCATGCACAAGTCGAGCTATTAAACAATATGTAACAATTATGTATATGTGCATGAATGATAGTCTTAAAAAATACGTCTCATAAATTTTGACAAATGCAACCCTTGTTGCTTGTTTTGTTTTCTTAGACCGGAAGTGAAGGGCTCTACACTGGGGATGGGTCCGTTGACATCAATGGCAATCCTGTAATGAAGCACAAAACAGGAAATTGGAAAGCATGCCCTTTCATCCTAGGTACTGACACTATTTTCTTATCTGTAGCTTATTGTTTATTAATATATTATTTGCAGTTCTTACTTACAGTGTGCATTTTTTAAAAAAATTTTTGAACTCCAGGAAATGAATGTTGTGAACGCTTAGCCTACTATGGTATTGCTACGAATCTTGTAACTTATCTAACCAAAAAACTACATCAAGGAAATGTATCAGCTGCAAGAAATGTTACAACTTGGCAAGGAACCTGCTACCTTACCCCCCTCATTGGTGCTGTTTTAGCTGATGCATATTTGGGGAGGTACTGGACCATTGCAGTTTTTTCAACTATATACTTCTTTGTAAGTATGGATATAACATTATCTGAGTTTCTATCGTGATCTGTCAATATAGAGTAGCTTTGGGAAGTGTAGCATTTTTCATCTATTTATTGGTTAATGTTTTTCTTACTTGCGTGCAGAGCTTCCGTTGTAATTTTCAATTTTCTTTTTCTTTGATGTGTATTATTTTATTGCGTTATTTTGGATGAAAACCAAAAAATCATAGATATCATCTGCAACCATACATTTCTAGAATGTTATGAAATTCACACCACTGATATTAGCTCAATTTTATTGCACAAGAATCTAAAATAAATGCTGATATTCTTAAACTGTTCTATGTCATATGATTATATGCATTATTATACTCATTATATCCCTCTTGGATTCATGGTAATATCATTTTGAACAGGGAATGGCCACACTGACACTTTCAGCATCGGTTCCACAATTGAAACCTCCTGCTTGTATAGATTCTGTATGTCCAGAGGCAACTGCAATCCAGTATGCTGTATTTTTCCTGGGTCTTTATCTAATTGCATTAGGCACTGGCGGCATCAAACCCTGTGTTTCATCATTTGGAGCTGATCAGTTTGATGATAGTGATTCACAGGAGAGAGTTAAAAAGGGCTCTTTCTTTAATTGGTTTTATTTCTCAATCAACATTGGTGCTCTCATTTCTAGCAGTTTTCTGGTATGGGTACAAGACAACTGTGGCTGGGGCCTTGGATTTGGTATCCCAACATTGTTCATGGGAATTGCAATCGGAAGTTTTTTTTCTGGAACATATCTTTACAGGTTCCAGAGACCAGGCGGAAGTCCACTTACAAGAGTGTGCCAAGTTGTTGTTGCCTCCATTCGAAAGTGGAATGTAAAGGTTCCCTTTGATAGCTCCCTCTTGCATGAACTCCCTGATAAGAGCTCAGCTATTGAAGGCAGTCGAAAACTGGAGCACAGTGATGAGCTTAAGTAAGACTGAACTTCTCTTCCAGTCCACTAGATTTAATCTTATTAGATGTGCTTTAGTTTTACTTGTTGATTTGTAGGAGTCATTGAGCACCATTGTTTAGTAAGCAGTTAAAGAGTATAGAAGCAACATCTTTTATTTATTGTCAGCTTTAGGGTCCATTTGGGAGGGTGCAGCTGTTCATGAAATATTTGTTATTATTGTTGGAAGACCAGTTTTTTTTTTTTAATTTTTTTATTTTTATTAATTTTTTTATTTTAAACTGATGCATTTTTTATGGTTGTTTTCCTTGAAAGATTTGGAAAACAATTTTCTTAAAAATACCACACTTAACCAAATTTGGTTTTAAAAAATTATCTCATTGTCATAGAAATTTTTGAAAGGAACAAAGTCGTCGCCAAACAGTTATGCAGCTGTCTGGAAAGCAAAAAAGTGTAAAAACTACCCCAATCCTACTCTTAGTTGTTCAAAAGGCTGTGGTGTTTGAATCTAAATAACTTCATTCTAGTAAGAACTAATTATCTTCACTCTACTAAATATGTTATTGAGAGTTTTTTTTTTCCATTATCAAGTCAATATTGTCTTTTTTATTCATTTCAAACGCTATTCCATAAAATACCATGCAGGTTTCTTGACAAGGCTGCTACTTTGTCCTATGTTGATGGAAAAACAGAAGATTTTTCCAATCCATGGATACTCTGCACTGTAACCCAGGTGGAGGAACTGAAGATTTTGGTTAGGATGTTCCCAATTTGGGCTACTGGAATCGTTTTTTCTGCTGTGTATGCCCAGATGTCAACCATGTTTGTTGAACAGGGTATGGTCCTCGATACGACCATTGGATCCTTCACCATACCTCCCGCATCCTTATCAACATTTGATGTCATAAGTGTTATCGTGTGGGTTCCGATCTACGATAGAATCCTTGTGCCAATAACTCGAAGGCTCACTGGAAAAGAGAGGGGTTTCTCTGAGCTCCAAAGGATGGGCATTGGCCTCTTCATTTCTATACTGGCAATGGCTGCTGCTGCTTGTGTTGAGATTAGAAGATTAAATATTGCAAAAGCTGAAGATTTGATCCATGTAAAAGCTGCGGTGCCAATGAGCATCTTGTGGCAAATTCCTCAGTTCTTCTTGGTGGGTGCAGCAGAGATATTCACATTCATTGGGCAACTAGAGTTTTTCTATGATCAATCTCCTGATGCAATGAGAAGCCTCTGCAGTGCACTCTCACTTTTGACAACTGCGCTCGGGAACTATTTGAGCTCTTTTATACTAACCATTGTGACGACTGTGACTACCAGGGGAGGGAAGCCTGGATGGATTCCTGATAACCTCAATGCGGGGCATCTTGATAACTTCTTTTGGCTTCTTGCTGGACTTAGCTTTCTGAACATGCTGGTTTATGTCTTCTGTGCCAGCAGGTATAAATGCAAGAATGCTACTTGAGATTTGGACTGACAGACTGGAGTTGAAAGTGTCAGTATTCTGTGTGTAAAAGAATGTAAGTAAGTTGATGTTATCCGGTTTGTTATTTTTCATTTTTAAACTATTCCATAACGTCTGAAGGTTTAAACTTATATAGTTATGTATACTTTGGGTTAGTGCTATGTTGGAATGGCTCTAAAGGGAGTTGCAATTTATAAGAGAGATTAGATGTGAAGTGCTCCATGTTTTTATGCCTACAAAGTTTTTTTGAATGGAAATTTAAGCCTATATGTGACCGAGTTAGGTTAAATCAGCGACATAATGTAATGTTTGCTAGTCATTTTTATTAATACACTACACCCAACCAATTATCACACTTTGCTTGTAGCAAAACATTTATATTTAATGAGACTCAAACAACGTAGAAGGTTAAAAACATGTGGATTACAGAATAAATTGGATTGCCATTTGCCATGATCATAGAAATTAAGATTCATGCCTTTTCAGGCTGAGTTTGAGCATTCATTATCATTGAACCTTTGTATCTCTGTTCTTGTTTTCCAATTCAGTAGCCTTTGATGGAGTCTTATTCTTTCTGACATTGGATATTCTAAGCCCTTTCTGTTGGGTATTATTCTGCTGGAAATGAAGCCTTACTCTACCCCAGATGCGGTTTCCCTTTAACTAGTCAAATGCTAAATTGCTGGAAGCTATTGTCGTGGTTTTTAATTTTGCCTACTACTGTCGATCTTTACCGATTTATACATTGGGTTTCTAATATAAGTTATTCTTCAAGTTTTGATATTTTACTCCTCTTAACTTATGATATTATTATGCTATTTGTTGCAATCATTCAAAAGTGGCTTGACATCGTTTTAGGGCTTCTAAATGGTGTAGGACAACATAAAAAAGGATAGGTAAGTTATAAGATGGACAACGAAAGAGGGAGGAATGATGTCAGTTGAAATCTAGCATGAAAGCGGCTGAATTGCGAGACAACAATAAGAAAAAGTAGATTTCTATTGTCACATGCAAAACGGTAGTGGGTTTGATGATGGAGGGGACCATTGAATATTTGAGAGCGATTATAACATTGATTCTATCAAGTTACAGGCATACAACTAGTGAGAAATCCGATGGTACAATACTTCAATAGAGAAAATACGGAGAAAATGTCATCAAATGATAAACCAAGCAAAATTTGTAAAATCAAGAGAAAAACAAAATATGTATAATTCTCGCCTATGAATTGCCCTAATTCTAATTAAATAGCATTAAAAGAGTACACCACAAAGGCTGGAAGTAGAAACAAGTGAGAAAAACCTTGCTACAAGAAATCAGGACGATTTCAGTTCTCAAAATCACAATCCACAAATCATGAGAATGTAAATTTGCCCCTTTCGTTATTCTCCCTGACTATGAGAGGTTTATTCTTCTTCTCTAGAAGCACTCGGTTCCTACTGTCTGATGTTTTTTCTCACAAAAAATATACGAAGATTTCCAAAGCAGTGGCTTACGACTCCTGCCTTGCCATTTATCTGTGGGCGCATTGTTGAATTGAACTAGCATTCAGTACCCAACTTATCCCATAGTCTACAAAAATAGCTCAAAAATTTTTCATCTCCCTTTGAAATGATGAAATGTTGGACTACTCTCAGTAATGACAATCGAGGAGGTAACTTGTACGTTAGAAAATCCTGAACCCCACTTAGCAAGTGTTGCCTTGTGTCTAGTATTAGTTCCTCGAATTCACTCTCTTCTAGGACCACCAAGGCTAGTCTTGCAGTTACTTTTCCTAAGACTTGTAGAGAGATAGTTCATGACAATATATTCTCAAAATATATATGAAAGCTCATTATCCTAGAGTCCTTTCAAGGTAAAACAATAATACACTTTTCATCTTTGGAAAAGAATATATACCCTTGCAACCATCATGATATAAGCAATGATCATAACGCCAAGGATAAACCAATAGTATGTGACAAGCATCCATTAGTATCATATCACACCCCCCTTGATCTTGAAACTTATCTCCAATAGAAAACTTCGTGAGAAATATCCTGTTAATGGCGATTTTATTCCCTTTCTTCAATCATAACAAGAAATATGGTTTGGTGTGTTTCGCCAGATTCATCTTAAAGTTCATTTGAGTACACACCACATTATCAAAAATACTTATGTTTATGTTAAGAATCCACACCTTTCCCATTTACTGTGTAATGGGTATGAATGATATTGTGGTCGAGCCACTATTGATCTCTCGTTGGCTCAATCTGTAAGGTTCGTCAAATAATTAGCATTTCTCTCTCATCGAATATAAGCCAATGCTCCTCTCTGACATTCTTATTATCTCTTATATCACTAGTCATTTCTCCAACTATATTTATGTAACTACTCCCTCCTTAGTGAAAAAATATCAGATGTAATATGTTTAAAATCATGACACTTGAAGCATTTTCTATCTAAGAATGGTTTGAGAGCATTGGTGTTCTCCAATTTTCTCCATAGTGTATTGATTTCTCCTCAAAAGTGACCAGTTTGGGTGCTCCAATGGGTGTAATAATTTTGCTTAATCCTTGAGTTAAGTTCTATTTATAAGGTATGGTGGTCACCTAATGACAATGCCAAGTTTCCACTTTCAAAGTTAAAGTTTGTACATCGAGTATGAATCAATACAACTACAATTACACCGTAATCAAGAGATCTCACCATTATGTGTTTATCTGATTCTAATAACTCACATTTTAGCATGAATTAATTAAATACAGTTGTGTACTCTTCTGTAAAAGAATCTAGAATTTAATGAATATGTTCTGTTGATAATGTGGGCGAATGTATTTGTGCTTCATCTCAATCTTATCTTATACCATGTTGTGATCTTACTCTGTCCTTCATACTGTCAAAAATACTTCAAATTCTCCCACCTGTTGACCTCAATTTTGGTAAAGTTTTTCCTTCCTCTTAGTTCTTAGAATCTAGCCATAGGATTTTTCTTTTGACTATCCTAGAAGACTAGAGATAGAGTCTACCTACATAAAAATTCAAACCACTTCACTCTATTTGAAACCCACGTAGAGGATCATGAACCTCTAGCACTTGGAAGGTTGATGCCAACATTTGAGGGTTCAAGAACCAGTGCCCATAAGACTATTGGGACTTAGGGCAACCCTGCGTGGCTAGGGCTTGATCTTTCACATACTTAAGCACATCACAATTCCCCACTTTTCCCAAAGCCCTAAATCATACCTATTAAACCAACCTCCCTTACTCTTTAAGAAACTCACATAGATAGTTCCAGGCTTTGAGATGACTAGGATCAGTATGTGAAGGTTCATGAAGGGGTTGCCATTTGGCTAGGTTTGGTCCCAAAGTGGTTAAGTGTGGTTAAGACCCACGACCAAATACCCTTAAACCCTAAACCTACATAAAATACTCAATTTTGCCAAAATTTACCAAAATTACTAAAATGTCCCTAGAACCCTAAAAACCCCAAAAATGACCCAAATTATCAATTTTCCCCAAAAATCATCCCAAATCATGTAAAACTACCCAAATTGATCAAAACACCTTAATTTCCCCAAAATTCCCAAAAACACCCCAAAATTTGCCAAAATTACCAAAATACGCTTCATGGGCCAAAAATTCTCAAAACCTCCCAAATTATTCCAAACCTCCTCTAAACCAATCCCAACCACCCATTGTGCCCAATTTGACCAAATTGACCAATTTTGATCAAAATGCCAATTTTGCTCCTAAATTTCCCAAAATCTTCAAAATTACTCAAAAAATTCCTAAGATCTCCAAATTCAATTAGATGTCCCCAAAATAAATTTGAATCACCCAATGTCTTCAATTATGCCATAATCCACCAAAATATTCCAAATTTCCCAAATTACCCCTAAAGACCCAAAACCCTCAATTTGCACCTAATTGATCAATTTGCCACCCAATTTTCATCCAATTCATTCCTAACCCACCCAATTTCAAAGTTCAAACTCAAATTCAATCAATACTAAGCCCAATCGGATTAGCCCATTATTTACTTCAATTTGAATCCTTCATGCATACCTTAAAAGCCCATTAGCATAAACAATTTTCAAAAGCCCATGGGATTAACTTTAAAGACCAAATTGAGTTCACATGACAAAATTCCTTCCTCATCATGCCATTTTAATATAAATATTCATAAAGGGCATCATAACAATCATACTATGCATACACATGAACTTCTATCCAAATTGGGCATGATGGCATCTTCTCCCCAAAAATTTCATAAAAATAAATTTCCTTTTTCATAAAAGTTCCCCATGTCATCATACATGGCATGACATATCCCATGGAGCCTTCCATGGGCATCATAAGGTAAAACTTACCAAAAATGGCAAAAGGAGGTGACCACTCCCTCTTCCCTTTCCACTTGGATTTACTCTTCTCATGCTAAGTTTAAACCTTGGTTTCATGCCTAAGCCAACCATTTGACCTCACCCAAACCTTCCTTAGGATCAGTCCAAGCACCCTAACCACTTTGGTGCCAGACTTAGCCACTTCACCAAGGGTTTGAACCCAACCTAGCTCACTTAGCCTAAATCCCATTTTTTTCCATTGGATCTTCACCATGAGCAGACCTCAGAACAAATTGACTTGACTCCACAACCTCCTTGACCTCCCTCAGCTTGGAAGTGACCTGACTCTGGCCGACCGACCACCTCACACGCCGGAAAACCCCATGCCCAAGAGGTCCCAATTGGGGAAAACCCAAAATTCTACCCACCTGAACTCGCTCAGCCTAATTGGCCATGGGAGCTCTTCTTCCCTCCACCTAAGAGGCTCCCCTGCCACTATGACTTTACTTGATGGCAGCCATGGCCTCCTCTTTAAATAGAGAACCTCCCACGACCAATGGAAGAAGAGCGTTGAAACCTTAATAAAACTCTGCCAAAGTTTCTCCAGACCCTCTAGCAGTCCAGAGTAGCCAATCCTCACCATTTCCTAGCCCTCATCCCCACCGTAAAACCCTAATTTCACCACTGAAATATAGGGTTTTCACGACCATACCATCAAGTGACACCAAACTCTAAATTGACTGTCCCATAAGCTTTACCAGAGCAAAGAAGACTTCCTCAATCAAAGCCCCATCATTTTGAGCACTCTAACCTAATCCAAGAGTAAGCCTGAATCACCCTACGATCGAATTCATACT